TTGAGAGTCATTGTCATACTGCCTCCATGAGATGTTTGCCTATCTACCCTCTTAACCAATAGTGCAGGAAAGGGCCTGTGTCCAGAACTACAGGCATGATGCTCATAAGCTTTTTGATATTTTCCCAAGAGATAACTAAGAATCATATCTCAGTGTAGTTATAATTTGCCCTTGACTTTAGGATCAGAGAGGTAGGTAATTTTTCATGCGTTCAAAGATCTTCCCATTTCTTTCTCTGTGAGATGTCCACTTGCTTTCTCCATTTTTCGGATGGGTTACTCTTCAGAAACAAGGAAATTTTCTCTTTGTGATTTGAAGTTAGTTATCTTCCTGAATATTTTGCTCTTCCCTTCATGACAAACAATTTATTAGAAATACCAAACATTTTATTTGTTTGCAATCTAAATTTATCAATCATTCTGTAATGCCTTTTGGGAATTGTATCATAGAACAGCCTATCGCCTCCCCTACTCTTATATGATAAAAATAAATTCCCCAAGATTCCAAAATCTATCAATACTTCCATGTTTTTGTTCAACATTTAAAGCTAGCTTAACTCCATAAGGAACTCATCTTTAAAAGACTATGAATGATGAAATAGGTTCAAACACCCACCTTCTCCACTTAGTGACACCTGTATTCTTGTCCAGCTGTTCTCCAGTTGGCACTAGACCACTCTTATCTGTCCCTGGGCCTCCTTATCACCCCTAGCTGCAGCTGAAGATTGAGTGGGCCCTGAATGCTCTTCCTTCTCTATGTGAGGTCTTGGGAGAGGTAGTTCATTTCTTTATAGTGAGTGAGTGTGTGTGTGTGTGTGTGTGTGTGTGCGTGTGCGCGTGCACGCAGGCCAGTACTGGGGCTTGAACTCAGGGTGCTGTCCCTGAGCTTTGGTGCTCAAGGCTAGCATTCTACCATTTGAACCACAGCACCATTTCTGTCTTTTTGGTGGTTCATTGGGGATAAGAGTCTCATGGACTTTCCTACCTGGGCTGGCTTTGAATCATGACTCTCATATCTCAGTCTCCTGAGTAGTTAGAATGATAGCCATGAGCCTTTGGTGCTCATCTGGCTGTTTCTTTATCTTTGTAGATTTCACATAATCATCCTTTTTCTGCTTCCCCAGTCCACTTACATCTTTCAAAGGCACCACCTTATCCCCACCAGGAATGAAAATGATGAGTAAAATGACCTTCTACTTTCTCAAATCCCTTTTTAATTCCCCTTAGCACACTTCTTGCTTGCTTTCTCTACCATTGTCAGTAGACACATGCACATTATCACGTTTCCATTGTTATTCATGAACATCTCAAACCCAGTACAATCGCATCTGCATACAAGTCTCTTATCCAGTTCCAAACCACTTTAGTCACATCCCATTCCACTCATAGTCCCTGGAACCCCAGTCTCCAGGCTTGGATTTCCATTGCAGGAGGCTCATGGGGGCCTCCAGGTGTCCTGAGTCTCATGGACCTAGCACAAATGACATCTTGACACTCCCTTCATGTCCTCATGGTTCCTGGTCTGAAGTGACCAGCACAGTGGACACATCTGTGTAACAGTATAGCCCTTGGGGAATATTGAGGATTGCTTTGAGAGGAGTATGTAGTATTAGTTCATGAGATACTAACTTGAGAGCTAACCTCAGAGCATAGTTTACGCTACCCCAGCTTCCTTTATGAAGCAAATTGTTTCCAGTTAACAATTTGATAAGATCCTATCAAATGTGCAGATTTTGTTTCTTGGTCCATCTCTTCAGACCTCATGCACTTACCTGGTTGCTGATTCATTTGCCTGCAAAGTGATGCTCCAAAATAAACCTCCAAGTCACGTCCCTAAGTAAAAATGACAATTGAAGAATAGCTTATAAGGTGTGATATCACGAACAGATGTGTTATTTTTCCTGGGAAGGAGGCACACCAAACAGAGAACAGCAGTATGCCTCAAAGGTGCAGAGGTGGTTGAGGAACATTTTCTCTGTATCTGACTATCTGAATATTTTTGACACTGAAAAACATACTGAGAAAACATTTTTCATTTTTAAAAGTCACTTAAAGGAAAAAAGTCATTATAGCCAAATCGGAAAATGAGAATTTTAAGAAAATTCTCTTAAAATTTAAGAATAAAAAAAGTACATTTCCTCAAAGGGAGAATGAAAAGAAAAAAGTAGAAAATCCCTGAAGCATATACCTGAGAATCAAACAATACTTTGCATGCATCCACACACATCCTCTGTATATGGGCTTACACCATAGGAGCATCTACCTTCCAGGATTTTCTATCAGTACTAGAAAAATCAATCATTACAAATATGCAGTTACAGAAAAGGAATGACATAAAATTGCATGTTTTAAACCAAATCTAAAGTACTCTTTTTACCTCCCACTTGTAAGTTTTAGACAGTTTGATTCTCTTCTGTGTCCACACACCCCAACTAGCAATTCTTATAGATGAGAGAGCCCAAAGCTAAGCCATACCCGCCTACATATCTACAAGGAAGCACTGGATAAGGTCTTTGGCTGCTAGTGGGATGTGTCACATCACTCAGCTGTGCAAATAGGCTGACATTCACCTCAAAGACCAGTACCATTATTCAACATTATCTGTCCAAAAGAAAATTCATTGATATCCAATAGCTATACACACTCTTTGGAGTAAAGCCAGCCATCTCAATTTCTACTATAGTTAATTGGCTGTCCACTGTGCTATCCAGTACTACAGGTGACAGCCAAGAACAGAACGTTCAGCTCAAACCACAGCTACTCCACTTTCTTCTCATGTGATCTCAGCCAATCACTAAATTCCCAGTGAATGGACCTCAGGCTCCTGATCTGTGTAATGTGAATGGTTATGGGAACTGCCCTCGTAGAAATGTGTGTTAGTTTTCCATTACTGTCATAAAGTATGTGAGATAATCAGCTTGGGTTGAGAAAGGGTTTATGTGCATTAACAGTTTTGGAGGACTCAGTCCAAAGATATGAGCTGGTAGTAAGGGGGCATGTAGAGTAAAGAATCCTCGGGGCTGGGAAGGTGGCTCAGTGGTAGAGCGCTTGCAATGCATGCCTGAGGCTCTGGGTTCGATTCCTCAACACCACATAAGCAAAAAGAAAAAAGCTGGAGGTGGCGCTGTGGCTCAAGTGGTAAAGCGCTAGCCTTGAGCTGAAGAGCTGAGAAACAGCGCCCAGGCCCAGAGTTCAGGCCGGACCCCCCCTCCAAAAAAAAAAGAATCCTCCCTCATAGCCACAAGCAAAAGAGAGAGTAAGAGTCTGGAGCATCATTATTCCTTCCCCTCCCCCCCCCCAAGTGATCTAACACGTCACACTGATCAACCCCATCTCTTCAATTTCTGCCACCTCCCAATTTTGAGTTACAAGCCTAAAAGCCCGTGTTAGGGCTTTTAGGGTACATTCTAGACACCAGCAATCACATGGTAGTGAGCTATTATACTGTAGCCATCTAGATAGCATCTGACATTCAGAAAAGCCCTTATATAAACTTAGCAACTCAAATTTTAGTACACTCTCAGATAAAGTCAAATGAGAGGGCTGGACATAGTGATACATACTTACAGTCCCAGCCACTACAGGAGAGGCAGTGATAGGAAGATCAAAGTTCAAGGCCAGCCCAGACCAAAGCACTAGATCTTATCTAAAGGACACCCTAAAAGAAGCAAAGGGGCTGGAGGCATTGCTCAAGAGGTAGTGTTTACCTGAGTTCAATCCCAGTACCACTACCATTAAGAAAGAAGAAGAACCAAATGCCATTGGCTCACACCTGTAGTCCTAGCTACTTAGAAGGCTGAAATCTGAGGATCATGGTCCAGAGCCAGCCCAGTCAGGAAAGTCCTTGAGACTCTTATCTCTAATAAACTACTCATAAAAAAAAAAAAAAAAAACAGAAGTGGAGCTGTGGCTCAAGTAGTAGATTACTAGACTTGAGCACAGAGAAGCTCAAGGACAGATCCCGGGCCCTGAGTTCAAGCCCCAGGACCAGAAAAAAGAAGAAGAAGGAGGAGGAGGAGGGGGGGGAGGGGGATTTTGGAAGATACCCTCATTTGATGACTACACTACAGTTTGGTCAGGACACATATGTTTCTTGACATGGGCCTCTAGTTTTCTCAGAATATCAGCTCTTTGAGGCCAATTTGGAAAAATTGCCATTTATCCTAAGGTCAAAGTTGTTTCCCTTAGAAGAAGATTGTGCTATACCTACTGTTGGCCATGCCAACTGCTCACTATATCCAATAGACCTCCTCACACAAAGAAGAAATCATGGCTCATACCATAGGGATTGAATTAATTCCCGTTAGGTACTTAGCTCTTAGTCAAAGAATTATGGGATTTCTTTCTTTCTTTCTTTATTATTGGGTCCGGTCTGGGGCCTGAACTCTGGGCCTGGGCGCTGTTTCTCAGCTCTTCAGCTCAAAGCTAGCGCTCTATCACTTGAACCATAGCACCACTTCTGGCTTTTTTTTCTTTTTGCTTATGTGGTGCTGAGGAATTGAACCCAGGGCCTCAGGCATGCAAGGCAAGCACTCTACCACTGAGCCACCTTCCCAGCCCAAGAATTATGAGTTTTAATAAACACAAAGTTAATGTAACACATAGTATGTTCATTTATAAACTAATACGCACCTAATAAGAAATAAGATTCAGACATAGTTCTCCTGGTATGAGATACTTTGAACAATAACAACAATTTTGTCTGGTACAAAATGTGAACACTGAGCTTGAAGAAGCAGATTTTAACTTTAATAACTGTTTATTCATTGGTATGAGAATCTAAATAGCTTTTGGAACAATTTTGTCCAAAACGGTATCTGCCTTTTTCAGCATGGATATGTGTATTTGGAAATTCAGTGAAACATCCCCTTAATCTTACTCTCCAGCCTCTGGGCTGTGGGAGGAGTGAGAAAGAGCTGTTCTTTCGATGTGAGTTCAGAGAGAGACATCTGACCTTCAGTGAGTGAACATTAACCTGGCTCCTTTGGGTCTGTGTTGCAGGAATCATGTACCGCAAGTCATGTGCTTCCTCAGCGGCCTGTCTCATCGCCTCCGCTGGCTACCAGTCCTTCTGCTCCCCAGGGAAACTGAACTCAGTGTGCATCAGCTGCTGCAACACCCCTCTTTGCAATGGGCCAAGGCCCAAGAAAAGGGGCAGCTCTGCATCAGCCCTCAGGCCAGGGCTCCCCACCACCATCCTGCTCCTCAAATTAGCCCTCTTCATGGCCCACTGCTGAAGCTGAAGAAGATGCCACCCCTCCTGTATCTTTCTGGTCCTTACTCTCCTACCTCCCCAAGTTTTCTTCTGGGTGTCCTTTGATCCTGGATAGAGAGGAGAGCTTTGGTTTTTGTTGTTGCTATTATTCCTTTAAGAATAATACAAGAGCCCAAAACACTTTTGTAAGCTCTGAGTGCGTGACTTCAGTCTGAATTTTCAGTGTGTGTCTGAAGGAAGGGTGCTGTGGCCCTGTCCAGAGTCAAAGCCAGGCAAGTTGATAAATCAATTCTTTAGAAGTCACTGAGATGGACACCTGCCCTTTCCAAAGCCCTCCCAACCCCAGCTTCCAATTTGTCCCCGACGGGAGAGAAGTATGTTTTGTGTCTGTGATGGGAAGGTAAGGTTGTCTCTCTCGGGGGGTGAGCGAGGCTCGTTGGTACCCGAGACTCCGCACATGAGGGCTCATACTTCATGCTCCTCCTGCACACCGTTCTCTGCAGCCAGATTAATTGATTTTGCCTCAGAGCTGGGCTGGGGTGACTCAAGACTCAATTGCTGGGGCTGAGGCTGGGGTTTGGCCTCAGTCTGAAAAGTGCTTAAGAACACCTTGTTAGTTCTCCTTGCAGAGGAATTCCGCCGGGAGCTCAAGAAGAGGAGAGGGCTGCGGGCTGAGCGGGCACTCCCGGTGCTGGAGCTGATGTGGGAACGCAGGCGCTTCTCCTGGTTGGCATGCTGTAGTGTCAGGTGGCAACGCAACACCTGTCCGAACACCTTGCGGAACTGCTGCGAGGACACATTGTACAGGAGCGGGTTGACCACCGAGCTGAGGTAGAAGAAAGTGTCTGAGAAAGGGAGGAGAATCATGTAGGCCCGGAAGTAGGACCTGGTCCAGTCGTGCTTGGGTTTGGCTGCAGCCATGATCCTCCGGATTTGGTTTGGCATCCAGCATACAGCCAGTGTCACAACAATTAGCCCTGGGCGGGAGAGAGAAAGGGAGAGAGGGAAAGGGGAAATGGCATAAGAACAGAAAATAAATAAATAATCATAAAATATTTAGCGCCCCTTGGTTTTGTGCTTACTGGCCAGGAAACTACCAATTTTTCAATGTTGCGCTTGACAGCTTCTTTTGCCACCAGCAAAAGAGAATTTAACGCTGCTTTGGGCTCAGGGGAGTTGGCCGTGTTAAAGACCATTAAATGCTTCAGACTGTGTGTTTATACCTGTGGATGCCTGTTAATTTTGAAAATGTTTTCATTGTTGCTTGTCTCTCCCGAAAACATTTTCCGTTTCCATAAATTTGGTTTTGTCGTTTTGTTGTAAAGCAGTAGATGTAGACTTTCAGTACAGCCATACTCGATGAAATGGGGTTTGTAGTTTAAAGAAGGCCTGAGCAAAGAAGAACCTGAGAGTGATACTTTAAAGTCAAATGGAAATACTCTCCCTTTGGTAGCAAGGAAGCATATTTAATAACGCTAATTTTACATGCAATTTCAAGGAAATCAGATCAGGGATAGCCTGTCACTGAGAATGCTCTTTGGTCTTTGTGCCAGGTATGCATACCTACAATGGTAATGCCCACATCTGCCACTTTTCAAACTCTTTTAAAAAAGCATCATCTCTTCCACCTTCATATGGGAAAATAAGTGATCTCAAAACATCAGGAAATACATAACCTATCTCCAGTTTAACCTTTGCAGCCCCAAACAGTACTCTTGGCAACCCAGAAATAACCAGCCCTTAGAGAAATGGTACCACAAGTGGTCTCAAATGTTGGTTGTAATGTGCATTGGTTGGCATGCCAACCATTCTTGTATTCTCACTTCGCATAATCTCCATAATTTCTGCAGCTCCCGACAAAGACAGTGTACAAAACATAGACAACTGAAATTACAATTATTATGAGACTTGATCTAAGGTAACACAAAGAAAAAGAACAAAGAAGGAAGATCAGAAAATCTTCAGGACATTTGCTTATTCTTTTTTTATTATTAATAAGTTTTTTATTGTGAAAATACCGTCAGAGGGGTTACAATTACATGAGCAAGGTAATGAGTAGATTTCTTATCAAGCACTGTTGCCGCCTCTTTTGTTTCCCCTTACCATCCCTGCCCTCCCATCCGCCCCCACCCTGCCAAAGTTGTAAAGTTCGATTTTTCGACATAACATCTGCTTATTCTTTTCTTGAGCAGTTGAGACCTCAGAATGTAACTTCTCAATGTAGAGAGATGGTATCTTAAAGTTGCAGCTGCATTAGCATTTTTCAGGAAAGGGTTTTTGCTTTCCAAATTTGAGTCAGAAAAAATCCATTCATATTTTCAGGCTTTCTGGTTTTTCTAGGAGACCACAGGGAGTAGATGGCTAGCCATGGCTGCTTCCTACTAAAACTCAATGGCAAATATTTCTTTACTAAAAGCTGTAGGGAAAAACAGCCACATTCATGCATCCGGGCTTGCCAATCCTGCACACACTTGAGTGAACATATCTTGCCTGGTGGGGGAGGGAACTCTGGTCTGTATTGTGGCACTGAAAATATTCCTTTCCCCCAAGGACAACCCCTCCATGAAGCCTATCTGTCAGCAAGCAGCCTCTGGGAAACTCTGCTTCTTTGCTCATCTCTAAGGGTTCTGCCTGTCAAACCTCAGCCTAGGCTTTGAAATACAAACCAATTTGCTTATTTCTTTCTTTTGAATTTGCTACCCTGAGAACAGTCAGTAAATCTAAAAATAAAATAGGCAAAGTAACATATTGATCTGATGAGGAGGCAAAAATAACAACAACAACAAAAAAAAAAACCTACTATCTTAAGTCAGGAGCAAACTCTGAATCACCTCATTACTGAGGCGGCGTGGAAACACGACAACACAGAATCAACACTTTTTCTGATTAAAAAATACTTGCATAGGAAATTGGGTGTGTTTGGTTTTTTCTCCCACTTCAGGGAGGAGCCCAGGTGCACCCAGCCACCCGTGCTGTCAAAAATTCCTTCTGAAGTTTCTGCTTGCTGTTTTCATCTCATACAGCTCTGAATGAGTGGTTCATTACATGAATCCTGCAGGAACCCAGAATCCTCTCAGACCTGGGGAAATGGCATGCTTCACAAAGTCTTACATTTTCTTCCCCTCTTCTCTGCCATCACATTTCACAGAACAGCTACAACTCTCTTCATCTAAGGGTATCGTTCTCAGACATAGGAAATCTTACATGAGTTTTAGATAAGGGTTATGCTGTAAGAGCTTAGGACAGCAGAAACTAAGAAAAATGATCAGGAAGCAGCTTGTACTTAGCATGGACTAAAAACAACTCAGCTTTTAAAGACAATAGGCAAAGAAAGACACTGATAAAGGAGGCAGGTTCTACAGCCAGGAAAGAGAAGTTCAGAAATTACATTTCTTTTTCCCTGTGTTTTGTTCTTTCTCTTGATCTCTTGCTTACATAATCCTTATTTCCTTTCTTCGCTTCCCACACGTACTTGCTTGGCCTCAATTGTCTTTGAGTGATCAACCCATCAAAAGAAGCAGAGTTCAGTAAAAAGTATGACCCAAAATTCAGGTAGGAGCCAAGAGACAGGGCAGATAAAAGCTGTAATTTGGTTTGTAGTTTCAGCCAGGATAAAATCCTTGCTCTGAAATTGAAATGAGGGAGTAAGTACGAGGTGAGTGATCAGAAAAGGTAGTAGGAAGTAAGTGAGGAACCAGATCACTGGCTTCCCACTGAACTTCCCATGAAAGCTCCTAGAATAAGGAAAAGAAGGGATTGTTGAGATTTGCCAGAAGGGAAAGGAAGAGGATCACAAGCATCTGAATTAGAAATGGAGGAGAATTTAAAATGTCCACATCTCACAGGTCTTGAAATATAATCAAGAATAGTGATGGATTATGTGATGTTCTTCAGTGTCATTTTTATGTTAAGAATTCTACTTTTTTCCCATGAATTTCTCTTGACAACAACATAGTGAGCACTGGCCTGAGAGGTCAAAACAATTACTATTGTCATTTAACAAATAAGAAAAGGGAAGCTCAGAAGAGATTACTTACCCAAGTGCTAGGGCAGGACACATGATTTTCAGGATCCAAACTGTGTGTGTGTGTATGTGTGTGTGTGTATGTGTGTTTCAGTTTGAAAAATACAGAAAAACAAGCAAGAAAGCACACATTTACTATGACTCATGTACATAGCCAGCTCTATCCACTGAACACATATAATGTAAGCCATATGTCTAATGAACATTTTTGAGTAGTCACATTCAAAAAGTAAAAGGAAGTAGGTGGAATCAATTTCCATAATGTCTGTTGATTCAATATACTCATAACCAAATTTCATATATAAGTTCAATATGGAATTGAGATTTTTTTAAATGATGGATGAGATGTTCTCACATTCTTTATTTTTTCATACCTGAGTCTTTACCAATCAGTATGGTTTTTACTTTTTCTATTGGGCCCAGCCAGTAGCTGCCACACTGAACTGTATAGATGCAATTAAACTTTCCTAGACCCTCCTCAGAGTAGCAAGAGTCCATGTTGATTCCTTTTCCAATTTTCCTATTTCTCCCAGCATACATACATGCCCTAAAGCAAGAAATCCCAAGCACTATCCCTCATTCCTTTATCTGAAGCATTATAACAAAAACAATCCAAATGCTGATTATATTTCTGAATGTGTGTTTTGTTTTGCTACCACTTGAGCTACAACCTCAGTCCTTTTGTTTTAGTATGCTTTTCATGTAGAATTTTGTGTTAACTTTGCCTGTGCTGGCCTCCATTGGAGAGCCTCCTAGTTTTCAAGAATCTAGGATCAAAAATATTAACCACTATGCCTTGGCTTATTTTTGAGCTAGAGTCTTGTTAACTTTTGCCCAGGCCAGTTTATAATTGTGTTCCTCCTGTCTCTGCTTCCTGGATGTACTAGAGTCAAGGGAGGAGGGATAGGAGGTTGAGCTGGGGGCATTGCATATGCTAGGCAAGTGCTGTGTCAGTGAGCCGCATCCCCAGTCTTATGTATTTTTGCCATAAGACAGATTTATCTAGTCTTCATATTAAGCTTTCTGTAGAAAGAAAGACCTATTTGCTAAAGTCTGAATTATTCTGAAAATACAAAGATATATTTTGATGTCTCATTCTCAACTTTGCTGAATTGTGCCAACCTACCTGGTAGAGCTACAGGAATGTATTTTTCCTAACTTCAACTTGAGGTGAGAAGAAGTGGCTTGTACTTTCCTTCCTGTGTTTTTTTTTTGTGGGGGTCTGGTCATAGGGCCTGAAATCTGGGCCTGGGCACTGTCCCTCAGCTCTTCAGCTCAAGGCTAGCACTCTACCACTTGAGCCACAGCACCACTTCTGGCTTTTTTTTTCCTGCTTATGTGGTGCTGAGGAATCGAACCCAGGGCCTCATGCATGCAAGGCAAGCGCTCTACCACTGAGCCACCTTCCCAGCCCCCTTCCTGTGTTTTTATAAGTTAATTTTGTTCTAGGAAAATGGAGCACTGGGATAGAGTTAGAGTCAATGACAAATGAAGCCGATGTGCTCATCGGCAGGGTAATAGAGGTACGCCACTCTGAGGAAGGAAACCAAACTAGTCCCCATCATAAAAAAATTATCATTTTACAGTGACAGTTAAGTGCTCATTTTTACATTAAATTAAGTTCAGTATTTTAGATGAGACACTTGGGAATAAATATCATGTCTAAAACTTTCTATACTGGAAGCAATTGGTTCAAACTCCAGATGCAGTTATTCTGTAGCAAAGGACAAAGCTCTAAAGTCTTATTCATGCCTTAATAGAGTGTATTGAGGATTTACTAAATTTATGTTTGGCTGCAATCAATTTGGACTTAGGCATTACAGTTAGAAAAAAATCCATAATGCTTTAGTCTATGTGGTGTGATGTGTACCCCACAGTTAAATAACTTGAGTGTGAACTTGAATAAAGATTGGTGAATTGAACACATGCATGTAAAGCAGGTAAACTGTTTTT